TTTCGACGCCGCTGTGGGGCGGGGGTGGGTAGTGCGGGAAGCCAGGCTTCCTATCTGCCCCTCTCAGTTCACATTTAAATCTGCACGTTCCAGCCCCCGCTCACTCAAGAACCGCCCAATCCACCTTCAGTGCATGGAAAAACCACCAGCCGGTTCTCAACCCAGGAAACCTGTCTCTGGCGACGAACAGGCTGCAAGGTCACTGCCACACCACCTATGCTAGTTACTCAGGGGAAACTGAGGCTTCCACACCCCCTCCCCTCCAGTGTCCCTCCACACAAGGCCAAGTCCCTATCGCCTGGCTTCCAGACTCCAACCAGGGCTGAGCTTGGGGTCTGAGGCTTTTGCGGGATAATTTCCTACGGTAAGCATCAACCAAGGCCGTCATTCCCCAGGAGGCACCAAGAACACTCCTATCACGTCTCACCGCTTCAGTTCCTCATCCTAGTCCTTGCCCCAACCCTTGGTCGAGGAGCGAGCCTAGGTCCTCCATCCACCCAGGAGAAAAGCGTCCCTCGTTCTTGCACAGAGTTCCCCCACCCCCAAATAAGCGTCCAGGTGTCTCCGGCCCTGACCCTCCCTACTCACTAGGGGAGGCGCGGAGCTCTGCGCCCAGCAGCTCCCTGGACCCGCTGCTGGAAGACAAGCCTGGGGGTCCGGGAAGGGGACCGGGGCCAGGAGGCCCCCCTGTGCTCTTGGTGAAGATACCGCTGATAAACTTGAGCATCTTTCGGTCACGAGTGGACGCTCGGCCGCCCTCCCGGCCCCTTTTCAACCCTGGAGCCGGTGGCTCCAGAGTGATAGGGGGTGCAGGCCCCAGGGGCTGCGTGGAGGCGGTGGTGACACAAGTGGCTGGAACTGGGGTTGCTGGCACGGTGAGCGGAGGAGAACCGGCAGTGGGTCCTGGGTGCAAGTCACTATTGTCCAAGGTCTTGCTCTTGCCTTTCCGAGGGGACAGCTTCCCTCTCGCTCCAGGCACAGCCCCGACCCCACCAGAGGTCGTGACTGCAGCGCCCCCACCCCCGCCGGTCGCAGTGGCAGAAGCTCCAGTCCCGGCGCTGCTCTTTGACCCCTTGACCCTGGGCTTGCCCTCGCTTTCGGGCC